AATTAGTGGAAAATTTGCATTTACTATGAAAATAGAAAATTTCGATATTTCGCAAATAGGATCAGCCAAGATTGATTTTTCTCGATTTTAAGTGTACACAAACTATAGACTCATCCTCTGCAAACCGTTTTTGGGTACACTTTTGTCGCATTTTTTTTTGCTTCGAGACCACTGTGAAGGGGTGGACCTATGGTACGTATAGCGTCTCCAATACTTCTTTATTGTGGAGGCTTTCACAACTTTGCTCAGACCAATATCCCAAAACGTAATTTCCATCTATGAATTCTGAACTTTGCTCCACGTGTCTTATTATGGCGTGGATTTTTAATAATTTAGAAGATTGGGGGTAGGTAATGATAATAGTATTCATTCACAATGCTGCACTTAGCTCTTCAACCATAGGCGTACGTAGGTCTTTTTGCTAGGGGCGGTCTGCCCCCCCCCACCGGAGGGTCTAGGGATTATGGAATACCCTCCCCCCCGCTTCAAAGGAAGGGCCAGGGGGCCGTCTGAAAAATGTTTCTCAAATCGCATGAAATGTCGGTTTTTTACTTAAAATTCTGATTCTGCGACTAAAAACACACAGAAATCGATACCTAACTTGGCGTTGTTTCATAATACCTGATGATTTGTTCACCCTGCGGCTATAATTTAGGCTGCTTTCTTGAATGGAGGGGGAGGGGTTTGGAATATCAAACATGAATTTCCTCTTCCTGGACATCTAAATCACGCGTACATATTTCAATATTTTTCATTCTACTATCATCATGTTTCAGATGAGCAATCGCAATAAACGCGAAGAAAACCGATCAAAGACAGCAGTAAACTTGCATTCACTATCAAAATTTCAAATTGCGATGGCTCAAAAATTGAATCAGCCAAGATTTTAATTTTTTGCGATTTTAAGTTTACACGCACCATAGATTTACCCACTGCAATTTCTGCAAACCGTTTTTGAGTACATTCTTGTCGCATATTTTTCTTCTTTGAAACCACTGTGAATAGATTATGTATTCCTGTTTAATCGAAAGTTAAACCATGAAAGCTCAAAGCACACATACCACTTGAATTCTAGACTGTCAAGAAGAGAAACAGTGCCTAACAAAAAAGGGTCGAATTAGGTTAATAAAGCAACTTAAATAACCGCCTGGTAAAACGTGGAGTATCATTCAAGGATGAAGGCGCGCTAAGAGCGAAATTTTTTGAATCGTTCTCCTAGCCTTTGATAGGTGCGGCTGGCAAATCGATTATGAGAAAAAACACAAACCTTCCGTTTTATTTGATTTCTCCAAAAGGAAAATAATAATATTTCTCTTTTGGAATTTTAACTGTTTTTCTCTCATTTCTTACGAAGGCAACTCTGCTTGGACCGTACAAAAATACTACACTAATCGGTTTCTCATAAAAACTTAAACAACAACAATTCTAAAACGCCGCGATCAAAATTCGTGCGTCTTTCCACTTCCAATACCGGAACGGTGTATTGGCTTACACTTTGGTAACGTTTTGGAAAAGAGAGCTGATACCATTCTACGGTAAGAAATTACCGCGGTGTAGCTCAATAAAATACAGCTTCAGACATCATTCCGCCGTTGGGAGTAGAAAAAACACTTATCTTGATTGGGACATTTTAAAATCTTTGCTGGTGTCTTATGTTAGAAAAAACGAGCAGACATTTTTTTCTAAGTTTCGTGTAGAAATGCTTTGTAGAAGATGATGAAGAAGAAGAAGAAAAAAAAAACAGTCAAAATTCAAAGGCAGAGAGATTACTTATTATTTTTCATTTTAAAAAATCGTATACAACCACAAATCGGCGACGGAGAAGTTACATACAGGTACTACGTATTCTCGAACTTTCAGAAACAATTTTCCGGTCATCAGAAACTCAGAGAACGATCCGAAAGATTTCGCGCTTGGCGCGCCTTCATCTCTGAATGATACTCCCCGCTTCACCAAGCAATCGCTTAACCTAATAAGCTGACCCTCTTTCGTTCGACAGTCCCTTTAACCAATGCAAGTGGCGAGGGTAGATTTATTACACTTTATTCTTTGGTAGTACCTACAGCTTTGGTTTCAACATGAATACATGCACAAAACTAGCAGTTGGCCCGTGCTACACGCGCTGAGAGTTCAGGCCATTATTACCTTTATTTCCGTCTCAATTGAATTTAAAATACTTAATGCTTTTCTTGATTCTCCTTCTTTTTAAAAGCTTCATTCCGTTGAATACCCGAAAGCGCGATTATCCGACCGGTTACGGATTCCACAAAGTTGCCAGATTGTGAAATTAAATTCAGCTACTTTACAGGGGTTTAAATAGGGAAAGGTGCTGAAATTTCAACACTATCTAGCAACTGTGCGTGAAAATCGTATGGAGCTGGATAATTGCCAGCCCAACTTTCATTTCTACGGTCCCCTTCCCTGAATTTTGGTATCCGACGAAAATAGAAGAATAATTGAGGGGCTTGGAAGAGAAGGCGCGTGAGTGCAGTTTTTGAAAAAATTGAGTTTTTAATGATTTCGAGTAAAAATAGTCTTAATGCGTAATCTGCGAAAAATTCACTCCCGATTCTGATTTTTAAGCATCAAAAAGTCAGTTTGAACTTCCTTTCCGCCATGAGGATCCATGTAATTTCGAAACTTCAAACACGAATTTTTCCAAATTGGCAAAACTGCACTTATGCGCCGTGTCCTCCAAGACCCTCAATTGACTAATAATACATAACTCGTTAAAGTGCTTTGGTGCACATTGATGGTGTGACCCAAACCATGTATCTCGGTTTGCAGCGTTGCAGACTTCCTGCAATGCTTTAATTTTTCAATGGGGAACTACTCAGCATCGATTCTTTAAAACCTCATTGATTTTCCTTCTCCGTACGAAGAAAATTCGCTTCCAGGACTTAATGTCCACCTACCTTTCGTCCATTAAATAAATGTCCACCGTTATTTATGTCCACTAAACGTTAAGTCCAGTCTTTATTAAGTCCACATGACATAATGTCCAACCATGAATATGTCCAAAATTGTCCAAATTGTGGACATGTTTTGTCCAAATTGTGGACATGTTTTGTCCACATTTTTTTCTTCTCATTTAAATTACAGGAACCACCTCAAAAATAAATGCATACTATTACTAGTTAGTTAGTATATTTTGAGGCGTTCAACGTCACAGGCTATTAACGTCTTTACAGAGCATTTTGAAAATGGGAGTATGTACGAAAATTTAGATTTTTAAATTAAGAGAGGTGAAGAGCTCATTCATTCTTAAAAACATTTCATTCATGAATCAAGTCATGAAAGAGAACAGAATCTAAGAGCAGATAAAAACATATGTTCAGGTGTACACTGTACGGATATGATAAGATGAAAACCAAAGCGGGAGCCTAGTAAACGTTCCAATGCCAAATTAAACATTTTTCAGTAACAGATGCAGTCAAAATTGAAAGTCCTCTTTAACTAATTATTTCGTGCGCCTTCAATCTTGTAGGATACTGTGCAACGCCGCTGACACGAAATAGTTGCTTAAAGCGTTGCGGCGCGGCAGGCAACCAGCGTAACACGCGCATAGGCGCCTACAAACCTAACAGGATACTTCACGCGTTGCGCAATGCGTGAAGTATCCCGTTAGATTTGTAGGCGCCAGTGCGTGTTCTGCGCTGCTGACACGCCGCTCCGCTCTGTGTTAGGCTCTAATATTTAAACTCGCGGAGTCAGCGTTTTTCAACTCATGATTTTGAAATGTTTGCACTCTCTGCATTGATTAATTCCTTTTAAACTGATGAAAAACAAATATGTACTATTGGAAAATATAATGTGTTTTTTGTAAATATAATAGTCGTTCCGTGTCAAATTTATTGATTTCCAAAGCATTCAAATTTATTCTTTTATGTTTTGGGCTTTTACTGTGCTGCAGCGTGGTGTAAGCGCAACTAAACGCTCAAAACTGGACGTATTTGACTCAAGAAGGTCGATGTACAAATAAGTTAAAAACAAAAAATTGCGTGCTTCTTAGTTTTTTTCAGCTTTTATCAATTTTTGTTCAGTTACTTTCATCACAACTACGGCTCATTGAGATTCATATCGATGCCATTGCTTGAAAAAGGTTTTACAAATATTTACCACGTTTTAAAAATGCAAATGTTTTTAAAATGAAGTAATCAATTTCATTAAAAAAAAAGGATGTGCATTTAAGGCATAGTTTAGATCGGAAATTTCAAAGATAGAAATGAAACAAAGTATTTACCAAAGACAATTTGAAAAGATGAATCAAAAGAAGAAATTAACATTTCATTTAAAATATGAGTTACGATAACAACACCTCATTCTCTCTTAATTTTCTCATTTCGATATTGTCAATATAATTTTACACACGGACTAAAATATGACGCTTGAATTTGATTTTAGTGGAAACATTTGTGGACTTAACTTAGTGGATGTTTATGTGATGGACTTAACAATAGTGTGGGCCTTAGAACTGTGGACGTAAAAATTGTGGACGAAAAGTCTGTGGACATAAAAAAAGTGGACATAAAGTCCGTGTACCGAAAATTTTCTGAAGATTTCAGGGAATAATGTTAATTCGTTCTCATTCAAAATATGAAAGGGGGGCGGCGATTTTGAAACACTGCAAACGAGATGCATGGTTTGGAAGTTTCACTGTTTATATGTGTTTTTCCAAAACTTATTTTAGAGATCTACCTGCAATGGTATCATAATACCAAATAATGTTCAATTTATTACAGCATTTCATTCTTGCTGGGAGATATCAATGCATTAATTTGACGTAAGTGAATCATTTTTAAAGAAAAAGTTAAATGAATTTAATAAGTATAAAAATGTATTTAGAAATAGTACACACTTTATGAACTTACAAAAAAAAGCTAGTGGTCAAGTTAAACCAGTTGCCTCAATATAATTATAATAACTATTAAGAATAAAATCACAGTCAGTGTTTCTGGTAAGGATGGGGGGNNGGGTTTCCATCTCAAAAAATAAAATTATTTGCAATTTGAGGGGTCAATATAATGATGACATAATTACAAAGTTCAGAGCAATATTGAGAACACAGTTACGAATGAGCTAATTTTACTTTTCATAACTCCTCCTGTTTCTCGGAATTTTATCCGATGACCCCCTGCAAGAAAAGTTATTTTTACGCCCTGCTTTCATGGGTGTCTTGGAAAATTGGAAATTTAGACTTTTCAGTGCTTTTTGACGCCAATCTCCTGCTATTCTGGGCTGTGAAAATGACACCTCTTGAGCATGAGAACCGGAAGGATTAATTGGCTGACTTTCTCCACTGGAGGAAACGCCGAGTTGTTGAACTTCCCCAAAGACAAACCCAGCAAATTTTTCTGTTGGCTGCGTTCCCTGCATTGGTTTATCTTGATAACTAGAGGATGATTCTCTCTCTGCACTGAGCTCATTGTCTGAGCAATGCGGTTGTAGACTCGAAGTGGATGGCTGACTAGAATTAAGACTTTTCATGAGCGTTTTATTTTTCAGCTGCAATTCTTTCTTATTTTTTAATTTATCTCTATACTGAGCTGCTCTTCGTGCATTTCTTCTTATTCGACCATTCGCTGGAGGCTGCCTGAAAAGAGTCGCATCTTCGGAACTGATGGTTGGAGACTTCTCTGTAATAAAGGCACTGTCAGATGAAACTTTGGGAGGATGCGAGGGTTTTTCAATTAACTCCTCGGGGAGTGGTGACTTATTAGATTTTGGAGATGAGGGACTCAGGGTAGTTGCTGGTTTGTCGAAATTGAGTAGGTGAGACTTATTTGATGTTGGCTTCTTTGCATCTAATTCTGGATGAAAGGTAGGGGGTAAAGGCTTCTCACAAAGAAGTGTTGGCATTTCAAAACTGAGCACTGGTGGCTGCTCTTTGGTGGACGATTCATTTAAACTCGTTTTGAGTGGATCAGCAGGTTCTGGTAACTTCTCACAGGTGAGCACTGGAGGTAACTCATGACTAAAATGCTTTTTGAAAGTGAAAACTTCAGGGTTGTCGTTGACTGATGTCTTTCCAGGATTGCATTTTGTAGGCTCTTTGGTTGCTTTTGGTTTCTCTGGAAAACAAGTCAGTGGTATTTCAACCGGTAATGAGTTTTCAGGGTTGACTTCTGAAGACAACTTAGAAATTCTTGGCTCCTTGAAATTAGGATGCGAAAATTGTTGAATTATTGGCAGTTGAGCATTACCTTTATTTGCCGCACCGTTATGTTTTCCCTTATTTTTTCTTGGTCTTGGCCTCCCAATGTTACTCACCGGAACTGAAAAAGAGCGATAAAAAACTGGTGATGACATTAAAATACAAATTAGATTGAAAGTATACTTAAACTTTTTAGACTGAAAAATGTGTATTCAAGGGACATAAATAGAACCCTTTCAAAAATAATATTACGCTCCAAAATTTCATCTTTACAGGAGGCGCAAAAAACTGATATGCAACGACTAGAAATGTTATTTTGACTTCACATAGATGAAAGAACATGATCATTAATCATAATTCAGTAATAGTTTCAAGAAAAAACAATTTTAACCATGAAAATGTGAGCTTGTGATACCTCTTGCTAAGAGAATTATATCCTCCTCAGACCCAGAGATTTCATCATTTTTTTTGGTGCTTTAGTCCTGAGCCTATCGCGACAAAATGGATCTCGCTTTTGCAGCATAAAATAGAACATTAGAGCTCGCTTACAAGTAATTCAATGGTGTTAGTGCAGCTCTCTACCAACTCAAATTAGAACTTGAAATGGCAAGTCGTTTTGCCACTGGATCTCCGGCACTACTAAAAGAAATGGCAAGACGTCTTGCCATGAGGACTTGGGAGGATATAAGCATAGTGCAGCCGATAAGACAGATCGTATAAAGGTTTTATGGAAATATTGTTAGATGCATTTGTCCACAATCATTAAATTTCAATTAAATAAAAAAACGGGAGAAGTCATTCAAATATTTCCCATCATTGTTACATTTTACACTTAGTAAAATTCTTTCCATACAAGAAACTGCACACTCGTAACACAAACTTTTCTCAACTTTGGCAGTTTAATGTAAAAAATTCATAAATTTTAATGCACAAAAATCAATAATTTTATATGCAAAAGTATCTATAAAATCAGAAACCATTAATACTCAATTTTGAGAGAAATTGTACTCCTGATATCTTTCTTGGAAAGCCACAAAATTAGTTGGAATGACATAAATATGCTCGACTGTAGGAGAGAAATCAAGGCGCATGAAGATTACTTAAAAAATTATATCACTTTGAAAAGTTTGTCGATAATTGAAAAAAATTTCATAAAACTGAAGGTGGTGACTAAAAAACAATGAGCACTTAAAATAGACTATTAGGAGTGTTTTCACAATAAACACATGCACATGGTCAATGCCATAAAAAAAGAGAAAATTTCACCATTTTGCAGTTGCGTGCATGGAGACCTCTAAACATGAAGAGAAGTAAAAAAAGGAAGGGAAATAGAAGCACTAAAGAGAATACTGAAGCTGAAGCCTGAGGCATAACATTACCTTGAAAGACAGGTAGCAGTATCAGCGAAACCAGGGTTGCCATAATTTCTTCATCTTCAAATTTCCTGACTTTCCCCTGACTCCAAAATTTTCTGTTTCCCTGACATTTGAATAAGACTTCCACTTCGACTTTTTCCTTTAAATTATACTCACTTCAGCTAAACGCTTACACCTTAAATTCCCTACCTTTCCCTGCTGCCGCATTTTCCCTGCCTTTCCTGGTTTTCCAGATTGCCACAAAGTGAATTGATTCAACGGGAGGCATGGATTTTCTGACTACAAACGCAATTATCTAAGCTTACTTCATCAAATTTTAAATTTTAAGGGCTGTTTTCTGATGAAAATTTTACGAGAAAAGAGAGTGACCCCTTTTAAAACCTCGACGTTCTGTATGAACGTAGTTAAAAGCTTTTAAAGTTTCCACATTTTGACCGACCCCTCCTATTGATTCGATCTTTGGTGCGCCGGCAACCCTGGAAACTCACATGATCACTTCCCAAGGGCAGATCTCTGGCCATGCTCATGCAAAGAGGGCATTTTTTCGTTTACAAAAAAATAAATAAATAAAGTCTCTACTTGTGACTGATCACTATAAACTATGCCTATTTTGACAGTTCAAAATTACAGAAAAATTTTTTACTAGCGAATTAGTGAAGAGGAGAGGTTTGAGAGGTAAAAGCAGAAAGCAAAAAAGTAGAATATTTGTAAGCAGGCAGTTGAAGATATTTTAATACTGATAGAAAATTAAACCATTAATGAATCATTCAAATGTTAGTGGATCTGAACATACGCGATGGAGGTCCTTTCTTTTGGTTGAAATTTCTCTTTGAAACAAACTTCGGAGTAAAAGTTGCTGGCACACATCTGAGGTAACGATTGGCTGGAGTTAAAGTGAATAAATCTATGGGAATAAACGGGCAGCTTTCTTTTGAAGCCATCAGATTCTTTTGGTAAGAGCGTTGTAAACTGTGCGACCCAAACCTACAAAAAAATGGGGGAAAATCAAAGATTGAGATATAAATATAATCAAGAGGAGAATATTGTCTTAGGTATAGGATTTTTTCAGATCAATAGAGTGTCATCTGTCACTACCAAACCATACCATCTGTCACTACCATACAAATCATAAGGGCACATTTGGTGATCAACAAGATATTTGCAACACCTGCCTCATTAGTGCTTCTAATGGGCCTCTGGACAAGCATAGGAATTAAAGCACTACCGATGATGTATGTTTATGAGCAATATTTTACAAGGAAAACAAATCTCACAACCGAAAATAAAAAAATCAACTCTTGAACAAGACATAAGTGTTTACACTTAACAATGGTTAGATGGCAAAGGTACAAAAGACGTCATTTGTTTATTCTGACTTCCATTTGATCTGTGTAAGAAATATTTATTAATATACATTCAGGAGTTGATTTCTCAAGTTCTCATTGTAGGTATCCGTTTCTACGTATGGTTTGGAAGCAGTGTTCGAAACTCACCTATAAGTTTTAGGAGCCATGTGGCGCATAAAGCCCGATTTTTAGGCGCCATTGAAGATTTTTCGGGGGCCAAATTGACTTTTTGCCTATATATTACGACGCATTTAGTGGAAAGTTAGACGCAAGATGTTTTTGGAACAGAACCATTAAAGTAGCTGTAACTTGGGGAAGACAAAAACACTAAGAATGAAATTGTGAAGAATATAAAAAGCTTTCACTTGTAGTGCTGAAAATTCTGAGTTTTTTTCAATTCAAATAGATTTGTTTTTCTTTCTTTATGTGCCTTCCTATGAAAATCCAGATTTTTAGGGGCCACATTGGCGCAGAGCCTTCATTTTTTAGGCGCCATGGCCGATTTTTTGGACGTATTAGGCGCGTTGGCGCTTGTGAGTTTTGAACACTGTTTGGAAGAGAAAACATATTTGACAATGTTTACCGATGGGCCTGTTGCAAACTTTTGCTAGAGCAAAAATAAGAGTTGTTACTCATAGAAAAAGTCTCAAAAATCACAATGAGCGCATCAGCAAAGTTTGAAATGCGCTTCTAACTTCACAATCTGCGTAAGAAATTTGCGTTTTTGTGAGCTTCCCGCTTCAAAGAGGATACTACGGCACAGGTGAACATTTCATTAGAGGAGTCCTTCCTTCAACCCCTACTCACAAGGATACCACGCAATATTCAACATAGCCGACGCCAATCCGCCAAAACACATGTAACGGGATGATAATTCCAACCACATGATAACAATCAGCGTGTTTACATTCACATTTCTCTCTCTTTAATAGATATCCGCCTTGATTGACCTCGTTCTCTCCTTAACTTGTGCGCAGAAGCGTCAGCCATGTTGAGCAGGGATTGAATGGAATGACTCCTCTAACGAAATGTTCACCTGTGCCGTACTATCCTTATTGAAGCGGGAGGCTTAAAAAAACGCAAATTTCTTACACAGATTGTGAAGTTAGAAGTGCATTTCAGAGTTTGCTGCTGCGCTCATCGTGATTTTTGAAACATTATCTATAAGGAACAACTCTTATTTTTGCTTTAGCAAAAGTTTTCAACAGGCCCATTCAGCCCTTGTATAGTGTCCTATTGTTGGAAGGTGATTGACAATCAATCAAGGGTATGCTCTATTTAAGAACGACAGAAATTTATTTTATTTTTTATATTCTGAATCAAAAATAATAAATTGAGAGAAGAATTTCCTCATTAGGAACTGACTTTTGTTAATAATTGATTAGGGCGTGTGTGTGTTTTTTATTGACTAATCATTCAGTATGAAAACCTAGATGATTATTTCAACTTCTCACTTGTCTTTGTTAATCCAAAATATTTCTTGAATAAAGTTGTGAAATTAAAAGCCACTTCCCCAGAGGGAGTAAAATGTACATGTTTTGAAGATGAAGCAAATACCTCTCATTTAAAGCTTTATGCAGGACAGCAAACGCTCCATCTTGAGGCTTGTGACAAAGCATGTAATTCCCCACTTCAAGGTCTGCGAGTTTCACAAGAACAGAGTACAAGTTGTTGAGGCAGTGCTGCGGAGTGGTGTTGTGAATCCTTTTTAACTCTGTTACGCAGTCAACTAGTCCTAATTTTTCAGCCATCATAACTTCGTAGTCACCATGAGCCACTCGAACTATTAAAAGTAAAACAAAATAATTACGACTAATATTTAACATCCAGGGCAAAAAACGAACCTATGTTGCACATGAGGATGGAGAACATGTTTCCACATATACATTGTGACTGAAAAATTCCTCAAGATTTCTAAAATCTCGACTCCAATCTTCCTAGTTAACCTTCTCTTTACTTCTCGTTTTTCTTCTTTCTTACAGTTCAATCTGATGGCTTAGTTAATTTGAAAGAAATTTACAGAGACCTACAATACTAAATATTATTAGCGAACCAGCTCTGTCAAAGGCTGAGGGATAAAAAGGATTACGTATTGCGATTTAATATTAATATACTATGATGCGCTAATGCACCATATACAAAGTTTGAGCAATTTCTTTTCATGGTGCTCAATTTGTTCACCTTACGCATCCATGATTGGTCAAATCCACCAACTGAAAATTTAGAACGCCTACAGCACATCAAAGGAATGGTCGAGATCTGTCCGGTAGTACATATTTTTTTACCTCAATAATTTTCCAATATCTCGAATTGTGATTAAGACAGAAAGTTGGAGCTTGGTCATGACTTTTTTCATAACTTTCAGACTGTAGCCATACAGCAGACCTTTAAAATCTTTAATCAATCGTTTGATGGAACTGATTATAGTGTATGTATAAAGTGTTTTTGCCATGTTTTGATTTTTGTAAAAATGAGAAAAAAAAAACATCTGAAATTCATGACTATGTAGAATTCCATGGTTTAATAGTTTTCAAGGTTTATCAGCTGTGAAAAAATCAACCAAAAATACCTGCATACAAAAAGAAAATAAGAAGTTAAAAAGAATATAAAAAAGAAGTCTGTACCTCTAATTAGATTTGTTCGAGGCTTGATGAATACATCTGCCCATGCTTGAGTAGCTTCACTCAGTGTAGAACAGCTTGCTCCGTACTCAGGATTGTACTCTACCTTTGTTACTGGATTCACTTTGTATTCCATGTTGCCCTGGAGAAAGGGAAAAAAATATTAAAATGATGAGAGAGGATCACACATGGGTTCATGGACAAGCATAGGATGTGTGTCCAAGCGCTACATAAGACACTTTTGGAAATGGGCGAGGGAGTCAAGTAAAGTCTCACATCATCCTCCCATTCAAATAAAAAAAAAAAAAAATCAATAAGGAGAATCTTTTCAGCTATCTCCCAGGCTTTCTCAGGTACTTTCTTACAAATTAGAGGAAAGGATGGTCAAGTCATCTTATATAATTTAGAGAGGAGGAGGCTGAGAGGTTGCCATAAGGGTGCCCTGTAGAAAGCAGAAGAAGAGAGTGGGTTATCTGATCCGTTGGTTAGAATTTGACAAGCACTCTGAGTTTCAAATTTTAGTTGCAGGATAAGATGCTTAGTTCCAAAATGTCCCGCCAAAATCCAAGATGTCTCCTGATCAGTAAAATACATCATACAGGCCCTAATATCCTCCCAAAAAGCGTTAAAAGTTTTGCTTTAACACAAGTTTAATTTAACCACAAGTGATGGAGCTAGGCCTCAGCAGGAGGGACACAAAATAATTGTGAGTTGGACTTTCAAAGCTTACAGAGGAGAGAAGGGTGCTTTTTTGGTATACATTAATTGTCGCAAATAATTATTATAATTTGTGATGGAAAAAATAAGCCCTTGAATTTTTGTGTCATAATAACTACTCATTTGTGCATTTAAAGAAAAAATATAATTCTCAGCTAAAGTTTTCATATTACCTCTAGAGGGCCTACCTGTCTCATCAAACCAAAATTCTTTGTCCTGATCAATAAGGACAATGCCCTGGTCCCAGTCTTCAGTAATATTCTGCTATTGTCTTCTTTATGCAGGGTCCACAAATTGTACTCAACATTTGTCCTGGTAGTGGAACCTCCAATCTTAGAACTGACGAGAGCCCTCTCATCTGGACTGCACTTTTCATCCCTTCTGCCCTCCTCAGCTGCATCCAAATGTTCAGATGAAGGCTCAAGCGATGATTCGCATCGTTCTAAAGCAGCAGAATTTGTAACTTGAGATTTAGTCAGAGCACCAGAATCAGACAAAGAGGTTGCGTTGTTGTTGACAAATGTTTCAGTAGTTTCTGTCTGTTTATCACGGTCGCTGCTTATTTCTCGGTAAAAGTTGAATGAAACTGGCATTACTTCTTCCGCTTCTCCCACATCATTTGGTTCGACATTTTGTTCAATGATTGGCGAAACATTTTTTCCTGCTGGTTGCAAAGAATGCGCATCCTCCTCACAATCTTCTTTCAATTCTTCTAATTCCAGATGATCCTCGGTCACATCGTCATTCTGCAAATCTATCACCAGGTTATCTGAATCAGTATCTGAGTCAGAGCCACAATCTTGCACTTTCTCCTTGGACTTCTTTGTGATGGCTTTCATGCATTTTTCAGGCACTGAACTTCGCGTGGTGCGAGCCTGCGGGACACGTGGACCAGTTGAGTTTCGGTCTGAGCTTGCGGCCTTCTCACCCGATGATTTTGATGGTTCATCAACGTTTGACAATGGAGAATGACTACGCTTGCCTCTTGTTTGGCGTTTGTTGATAGTTTTAGGACTTACGCTAGATTTCCGAGTTGAAGCAGCAATTTGCCGGGCTGTGCGTCTTACTGGCGAGGGGGAGGTTTCATCATCTAAGGAACTGTCCAGCACCTGGATCTTTTTCGGTCTTCCTCTTTTCTTCGGGACGTTTGAAGGAGAGTCTTCTTTGGAGTCTGTCACATCTGATATCTCGGGATTCAGACCTATTTCCTTTTTGCTTGTGGGCGTTTTAAAATCTGAAGAACTGCTGGTGTCCAATATTTGGATCTTTTTCGGTCTTCCTCTTTTCTTTTGGAGAACTAAGGTGGAATCCTCCGTGGAATTTGATAAATCTGATGATATCTTAGAATTACGACTCATTCCTTTTGTTCTCGAGGACTGGGACTTTGAGCAGGAGATATTTTCATCTGAGGAATTACCAGTATCGGGTAACTCGATCTTTTTTGGTCTTCCTCTTTTCTTCTTGACGACCAGATTGGAATCCACCTTGGAGTCTGTTAGATCTGATACTTCCAAGCTGACATCTATTCCCTTTTTGCGGATGGACGTTCGATTTGAGGACGGAGTTTTATCAGGTGACGGACTGCTGGTGTCTGACGCTTGGACCTTCTTAGGTCTCCCTCTAGTTTTCTTGACAACTGAGGTAGAATCATTCTGGGGATTTAGTACATCCGTGTTGAATTCTGCTGGTTTTACTTTAATTTTTGGCTCAGTTTTTCTAGCTCTCTTGTTGCCTGATTTAAATTCATCACTTTCAGCGATGCTAGACTGATCAGATATACTCCTATTTTTCTCTCCTTCAGATTGATTAAAACTAGTTTCTGAGTTGCTGAGTTCTCCTTCCGCAGAATTAGCAAATTGACAAGAGCCTTCTTTCAGAACAGAGTTGCTCGCACTGAAAGTCGAATCATGAATTGCATTAGGGGGTCTCTTGGCATCTTCTGCTTTTGTTTCAGATGATTCGACGGATGAGCAAGCATGCTTGGCCAAATCTTCTAGTTTTTCCGAAGACTCCTGACGATTATTATTTTGACTTGCTGCTTCCTCGACGCATTTTGATGGTTGAGTTTGATTCAGAAGTTTAGATGCTTTGTTATTCGTGTTAATCCTGCAACAGAAAAAAAACAAGAAAAGCTTAGTCGAGAATAGTTGCATATTGGTGCTGGAGAAACAAAACTGTCAAAATAAATTTTTTGGCAAGTACAAATAAACCATAAGAGTGCATCTAGTGATTGAAAGTGAAAAAATAAATTTTCTTTGAAAAAAGTAAAATTCTAAAGGACAGGACTATATTTGAGTTCAAAGCTTTAATTTTCCTCATGATTATTATTCACTGCGATCAAAGTTACATTTCTTTTCATTTCTGCTCCAATGTGGGAGCTGTAAAAATGATCTTGGATGATATTGCCTGGAAGACAATGACATGCATCTGGTATTTTTTCTTTTTTGATTCAACACAAAGGGAATCAGTTTAACATAGAATGTCTTCAGGGAAGCTACTTCCATTGCCCTTGAATCCGGCTTGCTGCAAAAGTCAGAATTATATTATTACTTATTGGTTAGATGTATAACGGAAGAAATACATACATTTTGTCCAATTGCCTAATTTCAACATACAATTGCAAACTCGAATAAATAAAGTGCTTCAAAAAAAAAAGTTATAAATAGTGGTAGGGAAACTGATGTCAGCTACCGATTGATTGCATAATATAAATTATTCTATTTTAGTTTTACCAGTTATTAATTCACATTGTCACTACTTATTTCCTAAGCATCATAGATAAGATCAAGAAAAAGACAACAAGCTACACACTGCAGAGATTGATGTCATCGCCAGACTTAAAAGGTTGATTTTGCAGAGTCTTCAAAGGTTATTTTGCAGGGTTACATTACTTAGCTCTGTGAGTGCAGGCTCCATTATTCTGCTTGAATTTCAAACGGTAAAAATTTGACAATTCCCAATCAACATCATTAATGTAAACTTCGAAGGATTCAGACTTTCAGCGATTCCACCTTTTTCTAATTCACTCGAGGGGAAGTGTCCCTTCCCCGCCTCTCTTCACCACCCGGTGACTGATGCTGCGCTGTGATGAACGGTTCAGCCTGAACGTCTGACAGTTCCCCACTCTTCTGTCAATCGAACCATGCCACCGCTTACGTATTGTCGCTTGCCCGCCCAGGTACCTAGCGGCCAGCAGTCAGTTGATGATAAATCTCGCTCATGCTTCCACGCAGTTACGCATAGATTACGCCAGCGAATTACTTTCCAAATAATTAGAATTTCTTGGATAATAGTTTTCTTTATTGATTTGACTGTATTTTTTCCTCTGTTTTACTGTGTTTTCCTTGGTTCTCTGGTGTTTTTTTCCTAAATCTCCCCGGTATTTTTATTTTATCTTGCTCATGCTCATGCGCAGCTGAGCTGCGTTTTCTCCGTGTATCATTTATGGGAGCAACTAAAATTTCAGTAAATTTTTTCATAAAAGTAAAAAAAAAAAAAAAAAAAAAAAAAAAGGTGGCTAACGCTGGTTCCTCACCTTCTTGTGGTGTTGGCTGTTTCTACTAAGTGGGAACCGTCCATTTCAAGGTACAGTCTATCTCTTGGCCCGTCATTATTATTCTACAAGTTAATTGTGGGGTAAAAAATAATGTTTTCTAAGAAATCTTGAAAATATAGAAATATAGTGATAAAACATTTGCAACTACTACAAAATCGGCTCAAGCGAGTGACCGGGGGTCCAGGGGGTGCAGCCCCCCGGCTAGACGTTCCGGGCGTGCCAGAACGACTAGTAATTCAATATTTTTCCAAAGCAAAAAAAACTTAAGGCAGACAATTCACAATTTCAAAGTTTGACTTACTCAAGAGAATTTAAGAATGATATCACAGCTTTCTTTGCAAACCACTTGCTCTTGTCTGCAGTTGATAAACTTGTAGCAGGGAGTGCCTTGTCTATAAACACGATTCGCTTACTTCCTTTGCCACCTAGTAAAAATAATAAGCAGAAAAACATGTAAGTACCATTGGTTATTTTTTATTACAAAAATGTAGGGAAACATGGGATTAAAAAAGTCAGATCCACATTTCTTCTCAGTATGATAATAGATAAAAATAATACGTGATGTATTTTCAAGCCCCTGATGGCTTTAAAATAGGAGCGCCATGGACTATAATTGTCACAGAGTTTATTTTTCATTCACCTGAAAATTGGTATGGGCCTTTGACAGTCGCATAGATGAAACTAACTGAGAGGGACTATTGCAGAATTTGAGGAAGTAGACGATGTAGAGCTACGAAAGGCCCCTTTTCTTACATTAAATTATGTAAAATTGCGATGAAAGAATACGTAAAATTTTGATGTCCCTCCTCACCTCAAAATTTGCTTGATCAGCGAATTTAAAAGTTCTAAACTTGAAGTATTTTATTGATAACACCTTCAATGATGAAAATCTATTGGTAACTGTCCATAGGCAAAAAATATTTACACTTAGACCTAAATACTTAGAAACTGAAAATTTAATAATCGGTACTACCGCACATAAATTCTTTTAATGTACATATTCGTTTCAAAAAGTCAAGTCGAAGCTTTATGACAGTTTGCTGCTTGTGGCTCGTGAAAACATAAAATATAGTTCTGCAACAGCCATTTTGAAATCTTAATCTACCCTGTACAGAGCTCAGAAAAGCAGGATTAGTACACAACGTTTCCCTCTTTCTTTGCACACAAATACACTGGAACTGCTCCAACTAATTCTTTGAGATAATGGAGAAAATTTTTTCCAAAAAAAACTGAAGAGCCATTTTTCCGACTCAGCTTGATTTTTGCTTTGAGAACGGTGGTTCTCTCTCCATTCAAAGGTCACATTTAAAAAGTAATGAGATTTGAACACTTCTCATGGAATCAAAGATGTCCATCATTTTAGGTCAGAGTTTTATGCATGAAAACAAACAAGCATGCGACAGCTCTCATCAAGTAAACATCCCAACAAAGTCAAGTTTGATGAAAGTGAAATAAGGAAAGCCAAAACTAAAAAACTCAAACTCACAAAAATAAATTAAAATTGCTGATGCGTTTCGGGGCCAGGTAGCCCTGAAACGCGTCCGCAATATTAATTTACTTATGTGAGTTTGAGTTTTTTAGTTTCAGTTTTCTTTACTTCATTATTTAGCTCACAGTTTCTTATCTTGATTTCCTGTTTGTTTCATTCCGTTTAGTTTTTGTTACTTTCGGTTTATTACTTTGATGAAAGTGTTGCCTTCCATTTTTGTTTTTTCTTTTTGGAGGATACACCAGCCTTAATTCTTATAATTCTATCATGCCTTCTTTTGTGGATTGAGTCTTTCTCATCAGTGAAAAGCTTCTGCCTTCAGGTTTTTAAACATAAATCATGTCAAGAACTTACTTGGGAACTCTTTTACAACTATTGGCAACTGCCATGATGTTGAGAAATTAGGCGAATGATTGTCTACTAATTTCTTGAAACAACTGGATGAAAGAACAAAATTTGCTTCACTTTGGATGGCCAGATGTCCTGCCAACCCATCTAAACTAACTAAAAAAAATATAAAATCACACAATAAGTATATTAAATGAATGAATGGAACAGATGTATATTATAAGTATGACTCGTGATATTACACGTTTTTCTCTTGTTTCTTCCGTCAAGTTTGTACAACCTACTACTTTTCCTGTTATTACCTGTACTTTTGGGTATTTTTAATCATTTAACATATTAAACATCAGATGCTAGTCTCTACTAGTTGACAAAATCTCTATTGTATTTAGATCTCAAATTCAAGATATGTGTACACTTCCCACTAATTTCATTCTTTTAAATCGGTCCAAGTGAAATTGAAAACTATCGTTTGTCATAATTCATTTGATATATGCTGGGTGCTACCTTTATGTTTGATGAAGAACTTAAATTCAGAGCTTCAGCAAGCTATGGTCAATAGAAAGGACCCTGACTTATTGATTTTCCGCTGGATTTATCTTGCAATGAATCTACACCAGAAGTGGACAGCCATGATTATATTGAAAAAAGTATACAAAAATATTGTTTTCCTCTTTGAGTCCAAGCAAAAAACGGAGTAGTTATGTCTAAAAGTGCATTACAGCTGGCTGGGCTTTTATGAAAACCAAAAATTGAAGCTGAAAGTGTCCATGTAATCAAAAATCACCATTTGACAAGTGCAATAAATCGTAATAGATAACTGAGAAATGGCCATTGGCCATGTTTGCTATATTTGGCCATATTCCACAAGCAAATTCTCTCCGCTTTGTTTACGGTTCATCAGAATACCTGGCTGAAACAGGCTTTTACGTTTTGCTATAAATTAAGGAGGAGCCACTATTCAAGCCGATTTGGGTGGTTATCATGATATTTGTCTACTCCTAGTGTAGATTAACTTTTCAGTAAGCAAGTAATGCAGGTACCTGGTTGCTGGAAGTGCAGAAGACTATCATTAGTGGTGACAAGGGATGAATCCAATCTACTCTTTTCTAACTCTTGCTTTTGTCTCAGAACCGGCATCCTCAATTGCTTCAAATCACCCTGAAAAATATGCACCATAAGTTATGAAATGCTAAGTGTGCTTTCGTTTGAAGCCCTTGCCAAAATCACAAATTGTTTTCAAAATTTAGGGTAACTCTTTGCAAAGATCATCTGAACAGCTGAAATTAATGAAATTTATGAATATCAAATGCTTCTAGCGCATACAGCACTTTTATTAAGTTGAGATCATTACTTGATGGATGAAAAGAATTAGCATTTTATGGTTCAATAATCAAGTACCGAGGTCTGGCACTGTCTCAAGTTGAGAACGCTGTCAGGTGCTGGCACTTGACCTTGTAATCAAAATATTAAATGGATTTAAGAAAGAAAAGGTGGACTTACTTTTACACAAAATTCAAAGTACAAAAAGGTGATTCAATATTTTCATTTAACCATGGACGATCGAAGATATTTTTAAAATGGGAAGCCTTTTTAAAATAGTTTATGGTAATACTTAATATTATATAATTAGCTTATTTTTAAAATGGGAAACCTTTTTAAAATAGTTCATGGAAAAAATTATTTGTGCTGAAAAATTTTGTCACGAGTAACGAGAAATATGCAGAAAAAGAAAGAAAATTATTGTGCATGAAGAACTTGAGAAGATTCTTGAGACATACGAAATTGAATAAATATTCAGAACAAATCATCAAGATTATTTTCGAAAATATTAAGCCATAGATATTTTAAAACCGTACTCAAAGTGGAAACTGCCACTACCTCCTTTTATCCTCTATGACCTGTATTACCTAATTCCCATGATAAACATAAAAACAGGTTAAAATACATACAAAGCTCTGCAAACACTGTTGATGCTGCATTCTGATGGGATTCTCCTTGTCATCGTAAACGAGAGGAACTGTAAGTAGCTTATCATAGAAATTTGGATACAGCATAAAAATTGAGTTGATCCTTTTCTGCAAAACAACAGAGATTTTATTTCATAAATAGTTTACTAACAGCAAATGAAAATACTTCAAGAGCTTCAGGATAAATTGTTTGATTAATGCGTGGGGAAAGGAAGGGTAGACTAAATGAGATATACTTTTTCAGGGGTCATACATAAAATACTTAACAAAAATACTTACAGCAGAGAGAGGGGGCAAATAAAGTGTTGCGCCTTTTTGTTTTCATGCGTTAAATGATAAGGATATGCGCCACAAGAGAGTTAAGCGTGGGAAGGAAGGGTTTGAAAAACCCAAAATCGGTGTTACCAATTTGATGAACGACCCCTCACTACAGCTTTTGGGAAACTTCAATGCATTGGGACTAGCCCATTAAAAAATAAATAAAAGTGTAAAGAAAGGATCCTGCACATTTCTTCTGGGAATATGTACCCTCTTCGATTCCCAATTTTATTATTGCATTGAACTTTTCAATGGATGTTGACCAAAACTTATCATTGCGCCAACTTTCTACAAGCCATCGTTTTTGCCCAATCCCTGGTTGAAGTTTTGATAATCTGAAGTAAATGAAGGCAACACAGCAATGAAAAGTCAAAAAGATTCCGCTATTTTTCAGCACTTGAGGCTGAAAACATCGTAAACAAGAGAACTTCAACGCATTTAGGTACATTATGATCGGAAACTACTACCAACCGCGCTGAGCAGCAGTTATACTTCTGATTCCACAAGCTTTTTTAGTTCACCATCCAAATCAGTTTTGAAAACAGGTCAGGAATTGTTATAACTTCAACCGCAGATTGGGTAAAAATGGTGGCTTGTAGAAAAATGGTACAATGATGAATTTTGGCCAGCATTCATTGACATGTTTAAGGCAAGAAAAAAAAAAAATTGGAAATCGAACAGGGCATACATTCCCAGATGGAGTTTGGGGGATCCTTTCTTTACACTTTTATTTCTTTCTTTTCATGTGCTTATCTTAATGTAATAAAATTTCCAAAAAGTTGTAGTCAGGGGCCGTTCATAAAAGGGAGTGTGCAGGGTCCTTTATAATTGTAAGGATCTTATTGAGGATATTACAAAACAAATAAAAGTGAGAGAAAAGGATAAAAAACTTTGACAAGATGAAAAAACTTGGGAAAGTTTGGCTAGTTATCCGAGCCAACATTATGTTGATGAATGGCCCAATTCAGAAAGCTATTGAAGGTGTTGGGTGATTTTTAAACAAAGAGACATTTTTTAGACCACTGGACGAGGTTAGAAACCAAAAACTATAACAAATAAACTCTTGTCAAAATTGCAAATAGAGCACAATGGATATATTGAAAATTTCCTATTTCAATTGATGATGATGGGAAATGTCGCATGATGCTGAAATTCTTACCCTCTACGATGGTCTCTTCAAGACTTACATTTGTCACATTTTAGGAGAATCTATGAGGTCATGTTGAAAGCGAAGGCAAAAGAAGTTTATGTATACTCAATACTCACTTGCCAATACTGCTCGATGAGCTGTTTCGCAACTGCAGGCATTTCAAGATAGCGCTTGAAGTTTTCTCGTCTCCAATGGGTTGAGACAAACATTTGAAACTCAGATCTTTCCTGAGTCAGTTTGTTTAGGAAGCCCTAAAAACAAAAACAGAAAAAAGTTGAAGTAATATTTTAGACAAATTCAAGAGATAAACAGGGTTGAAGGAAAAATGAGAGAGAGATAATTAATGAAATTAAAGGATTCAAGAGCAAGAAGATACTGTTTGCATACCCTATTTAACATTCAGAAAGGACTCTACGTGGAATACTAAGGAATTTGGCCTAATTAAATTTCGTCATTATTGACAGAATATCTTTTAGTATCTCTTGAGGACAAGACTTCCTATTCTCTCACTGAGCGCCAATTGTGGAGAAAAGACAAAAGCAGCGCAACCTTGCATCAACTTTTTTACAACAAAGGGCTCCATGTATTCAACACAGCAGCAGTGCTCTTCCATCATATGATCATAAGAGAGCATGTGTCAGGATGCTGATTATTAACTTTCCACCCTTAATTTTCTTAAAATAGGTGCATAGAAACTTTGATCTTTAAAGCTGGTCATGCTTAGGAGGTAAATAAGGATATCATATCAAATGATGACAAAATATAATCTGAGTAAAAAAAAAATAAGAAACTATGAGTAAAGCACATGAGTATATTACCTAGCTGTTCTAGAAGCATTCATTTTTGAAGGCAGTTACCAATATTTTTCCTAAAGGGTTCAGAAACATTGACTTAAATCACGATTAAATTCTAGGATGTAATTTCACAAATTTTCAATAAGACTTTTGTTCAATCAGATGAAATTTGGCAACACTTGAATGTTGAAACAGCATTTTTCCATGATCTTCAACATGTGATATCCTCGGTGAGGCACCTTAAAATCATAGTTCCCTTCAGTTTCATCAATTCTAAAAACAGAGGAAAACTGGTTTCCCCCTATGACGGCAAGAGTCCATTTTTCCCACAATTCAGATGATGGCCATACTTATATGAAGCTCAGTATCTGATACCTGGTATTAGATATCGCTTCTTGTTCAATTATCTGAGCAAAACCTTAACCACACAAGTTGAGATCACAAAAATATGACCAACTAGATATTATTTTCCCACTCTTGACGACTTATCTGTCCGAGGGAAGGATACAAAGGAGTACACTTCATGATGCGCATTCGCTGTTTTTTTTTCATCAACATTTCAGACAAATAGACAACAGAGAGACCTGGAGGAGTAAATATTTCAATCAAAGTGGAGGGTTGGCATTCTACCTTACAGTTTTCAAAAGGAGTCCCTTTAACAACCAAGAAATAAGGGATGCAAAAAGTTCCAAAATGCTAACTACCAGGAGTGCAGACATTTTCCAACCCCTGCTGATCCAATGCTCAGTGGTCACAGCCTGATCCTTCAATTTCCACAAAATTTCTTTCCAAAATTTTATGAAGAATGGAATTTTTTTTTAGAACTGCCCAACTTCCTCAAGTCACATCATGAGTTGGTAAAAATTCCTATATACCGCCTGCCACCCATCTTGGTGCTTTTCATCTTGAGATCTGACATATTCAGCACCCACGTTAATATTATTATGACAATAAGTGACTGAGAAGTTGCCTCATTACCATCAGAACTTCATGCTGCGCTGGATTCAGTTGTTCCTTCAGCCACCCTTGGTAGAGATGATAGCAGTCCCTCATTTCAAATTTATTTAAGATTGATGATTTTGGAAATACACAGTTTGTCATGCAAGGCACATAATAGCCTGGCTTTTTGTACTGAAAAATAAAAATTAATTCATTTACTATCAGGATTAGCCTTCAACTGCAGCTGAAATACAGCCACATTTGGTTTAAAAAAATTCAAGAATATGGGCATCATGTGCAAAATGCACCTGAAGATTCGAAAAACAAGCCAAACTTAGCGCCTAAAGAAGGCAGATGCAACTCATCACACCACTTTCAGTACCATACTTCAATTATGCTTCCTTATTTAGTAAATTCACTCTTTAATTTTTAAATAGACCGCATTCAGAAGAAAAGAACCAAGCTACATCAGCTACGTATTGCCAAATTTCATGGGCCAATTTGATTTTTTCCACGAAAAAGATCAAATAGATTTTGGCACAAATTGCAGTGAATTTTCGGTATAGTAGGAAGCAAATTCTTTAAAATTTTCAAAGGAATCCACAAAGATGTTCTCTTGTAAAAAATGAAATGACCCAGTTAAATTTGGCAATAGTTGATGTGGCAACTTGATTCCTCTTTGCTAATTGTCCTGTACTCTTCTTTTGAGACTGAGCATGGCTTACTCACTGCATTTTCCCGTATTCATAATTCAAGTCTTTAAAACAAACTTATGCTTGAATTATGGTGGGCAAGAAGTCACGGAAAGTTGAAAAAATCATAGAATTTCATTATTTTTTGTTTTAGAAAAAAAATCAAAGCTTAAAACTTAACTTGAAAACTTGGGTATTTAGAATCCAAATTAGAATTGAGACAAAGATGTAGAAAAAACGTAACAGCCATGGATGCTGCCAGTTGTTAGGATGTCATAAGGTATTACTGGACAAACTCCCAGAGTTTTGAACTACCGCACTCTCTTATTTTCGGACCATATTTCTATTCTTATAGATGAAATTATAAAGATTTACAAAAATTGAATGTGCATAATTAGATAAGAAAATCAGATAATTTTAATCTGTTGTAACAGTGTTACCTTCCAACCAATGTATCAAGAGCGCCATTCTTGCTTAGACACCATGTTGTCTGAAATCTCGAAATTGTTTTAATTTTGTTTAAATTTTTTCACTCATTTTCATGCAAATTCTAGGAATTAGTATCAATGAAACAAGAAATATTAGGTATAATATGCAAGTAATTATGTTCATTACTTCATTATTTTTTCTGTAAAAAATTGGACAAGTTTGAGAAGTTTGGCAAAATAGAGCACAAATGGTGCTTGTGATAATTGAGTTTGCCGGAGGGTGATGATATTATCTTCTTCTGTTTTGTAGCAAGTAACATTTAGTCTCAGAAAAAAATCCAATTAAAACTCAGAGCAAAAATCTTTAAAGGAAAGAGTAAATATTTGGGGAAAAAATTATACTCACGCCAATATTGTCCTGATTTTTTTCCAACTCTGCTAATTTGTACAGCTGGAATTTGAGGTCTTTGACATCCGGAATCTTGACTCTATTATTCATCAATCGAAACGCATATGAATCATGATCAAATTCTTTATCATCGTGACAGAAAAAGAAATTGCTAGGATCATCATGGGCAGGACACTGAACGCAGCTGAGAACAAGAAAATCAGACATATTTTACATACAATGGAGAACAAAAAATAAAATTAAAAGCTGAATTCGTCCCAGTTTTATTCATCTTAGAATAATATTAGGGAACTTCTTGCAAAGTTTGGTAAATTTCTGCACTCTGTGGGTTACAGCCGAGGTTGATAGACCCAGGTCAGTCCGTAGGGAAATTTGAGTGTGATAATCTTGGCGAAATGGGGGTGAGGTCTGTCCGCATTGCCAACAGATTCCCCGGATTTGCTCGTCCCACTCTGCTGTTCCCCAAATCTCATTACATTACTTAGTCTTCTGCAGATCGGAGGGATTAGGGGGAACTGTTCATCAGGACAGTGCAAATCAAGGAAACGTTTGGAAAGTGGTGAGAAAGCAGATCGGGGGAATTTGTCGCCCGATTGGAAAATTCCACTGACAATCTTACAAACAGACTAACTTGGGTCTATCAACCTCGAGTTAGATAATATTATTAGAATATTTTTAATAATATATAGAATATTTTAGAGTCAGTGACTGTAGTTAAATGACAAGATTGCAGTACCGAGGCAGTCACTAGTGAACTACGTAAAATGAAATCAGCTTGGTTGTGCAGAGCCAAAAGATAAGTTAGCGCATCGCCAACTTCCACCCGCTATGAAGGGATGAAAAATCATTGGCTTTGAAATTTATTGAAAAAAACGGCATCAAATATTCATAGATAAATGATACATAGATAAATATAAAAAAGTAGTGAAGTCTACGTACGAAAAGAGTTCAAAAAACTCATCCATTCTTAGAAAACTGGGATGATCACTAGCGCGAAGTGACTGATTAGATTAGAGGAGTATGAACAATGACTGAAAGGTTTAGTGGTGACCCACGACTTCCAAGGAGGAATACATAGAAACTTATTGCTCAAATGTAACAAATCGTTGATCTACGGCCGGAAAGATTCATGAAAATTTACCGAAACGTTACAAATCGCAAACACAAAAACGCACATGTTTACAGTGTTTTTATTTACATGAGAGAGGTTATGTTTATTATTGTTACCAACCCGGCCGTAAGGAGCGCTACTGTTCTCAATGTTATCACTAGCGCCTCCAGCGGACAGGAGGTTAAAGTTCACGCTGACTTGCCGTTTTTCTTTGGTTTTTCTGTTTTTTCACAGTTCTGAATAATTTTTTAGATTTGAAGCAACTTGAGTGAATGCTGTGTGATTTGCCGAAAGAAAAGTTGGACTTTGGTGATTACCAAACTGCATCACTACTGCAGCGGTTGCAGCGCTATGTTGTAACTGGTTTCCCAATACCCTAAGACTTCTCGTCTTCTCCTATTTCCGGGTTACACTCGACCGTCAGTGTCACAAGAAGTGCAGTTTACATTTACGACCTTTACGTGTTTCCATTAGTTAGGAACAGTGCAATTTTCATCAGAAATTCCACGATGGCTGTCCATTTGGCGAAGAATGCTCTCGTATTTGGGAAAGGAATCAAACCCAGCATTTCGCACTCCTCCAATGGTGAGTTGCTCTCTAGAATTGAGGTTAAAAAGTCCAACTTTACGAATTAGATCCTCGGCGAAGAATTCTTTCAGTTTGATCGAGTCTATCAATACGAGCTCGTATGCCATCAATTTTCCCATTCTATCTAAGTTCCAAATCTCCAGACTAGCGGAGAAGCAGTTTTTCAGAGAGCCGCTCATGTTCCCTGCCACCCGTCACCGAAAAAGTTTGATAAGGAATTCTTTTGTACCTCTTTCTAGGTAGATTCCTTGTCAAGATGAGAAGAAGCCAATTTTAAATACTGTCCTAGTTCTCAAATAACTAATTGAGAACGCATTCTAATGGCCGGTTACGCAGTTAGTGGTTAAAGGGATACATTGACCATCCTGAATCAAATCAACTGCTGAAAGCTTCTTTGTCTTGCTTAACGGTGTTTTTGTTGTAGATACCTGCACTTCATTTTTATCTCGCACAACCATTTTAGGTCCAGGAACACATTGACATAGTTTGTGTGGTTCTCTCAGAGTTTTCACCCCTATTTTATGTATTACCTACGTTTTCTTTGTTATAGTTGCGCTGAGATGTCTCTCAACCTCTGGAAACTTTTATTCTCCTCGCAAAACAATTAAAGACAAGACTGGGAAGAACATTGTTTTCGTTGATGGTGTTCGTACTCCATTCTTGATGTCAGGAACGGATTATGCCAAGCTGATGCCTCATGAACTTGCAAGACATTCTTTATTGTTAGTATATTTAGAGTTGTATTTTTAATTAGGCTCTCACATTAAGACCAGTCTCAATTCTAACACTGTCCTAAATTCACCCATAGGTACATAGGCTTCTCAACAGATAATGAATAAGTACGTAAGAGAAACTGATACACATAGTAGGTGAGTTACTGATTTCAATTCATGGGTGTTGTAAAATTGTGTCATGCTCGCAACTAAAAAGTCACTCTTCATTATCTATTTGCTCGATGAGTTGTTCATCCTTCATTTTCTTTCATTTATCATACTTTTACATGTGTCAAATCTCTCTCTATAATTGTCATAATTCATGAGATTGCCAATTACCCGCCGAGGGACCATGAAGTGCCTCCAGACTGATCTCAATCCTGATCTTTAAATAAAGAATTGAATTTCAGGATTAGAATCATTCTAGTAATCTCTTTTGCGAATGTGGAGCTTTGAGATAATACTATCCATCATTTGTTTAAATTACTTATTTTTTTATCATTAGAATAAAACCATACTTAAGCATTTGAGTACCTAACAAGAAATTGAATGAATATTCTGGCTATTTCAGAGGTATTGTGAAAAAAACAGGCATCTCCCCAGAAATCATAGACTATGTCATCTATGGTACAGTCATCCAAGAGGTGAAAACTAGCAACATCGGAAGAGAAGCTGCGTTGAGCGCTGGTTATCCTGAAAAAACTCCTGCTCATACTGTCACCATGGCTTGCATCAGCTCCAACCAAGGAATAACAACAGGTTATTATTAATTGGTTTAGTTTTTATCAATAACTAATTTCGCACAGTCCAAAAGCGTTTAAGGACCATGGATTATAATGAGCCTTTGAGACAGAATATATTATTTTATCCTTGGTCTACAGCCAATGGTCTAGAATAACTCACTGATTTTAGCTATTTTTTGCCATAATAGATGCCTTTGAATTTTTTATAGAGTGAAGAAATTTTAAGGCTGGAATTTCAACTAAGTTTTTTTCTGCAGAATTCTCTGCCCCCTGCTCTCAAGTCAGTCGATGATCATAGTACTTTAATATTCAGCCAAGTCTGTAACCTTAACACAATTGTGAATTCCGTTTGTTTAATGAGGAATTTTGCAGGTCTAATGAAAAGGCTTTTGTTTTTTACAGTATTCGGAATACATCCTCACCACAACATATTTTCTAACTATTGATTAATTGAGCAGTCCTTTGAAATAAAGTAGATAAGTATCCAAAACTGCGTGTACTGATGAATAAATTTCAATGAGCAAATGGTGAAGATTAGCTTTACTCTTTTCCCTTGACGTATTTGATATTTTGGAAACAAGTCAGTCAAAAATTTTAGGCGCATTTGTATTTAATTTGAACCTACGCAAAGTTGTACAATTTTGGCAGCAATGTAGAAACCACTCGTTTTTTTTCCTCAAAGAACCACTCCATTATTAAGAATTTAAAATTCATTGCTGTAAATTATTTTTCCATTAGTCCTGAAGTTTCTAAGTGCTGTATATTGTATTTTTTATTATCAGGTATTGGAATGATTGCTGCTGGCGCAATAGATGTAGCAGTAGCTGGTGGTGTCGAGTTCATGTCAGATATTCCGATTCGTCACTCACGTAAAATGAGAAGCCTTTTGTTGAAGATGAACAAGGCCAAAACACCTGTTGACACTCTGAAATTACTCGCTTCATTCCGTCCTGATTATCTTGTCCCTGAGGTACACGAACTTAAAAATAATTTTTCTTTCATTATTTCTTCATGTAAATTCAAGAATGGCTGAACCTGAAAATCGTTCACAGATGAAGAAGGTGAAAATCATTGAGATGGGAATAAATTTTATTATCTACTTATTCCTTCCTAAAAAGTGCCTTCACAGATTAATTTTTTTGTGTAATATGAAAAAGTTAAGAGTATTTGTTCTTTATGCTGATATGATGTCATCAATATTGGACTAAGTTTCAATTTTTTGCCTCCCCTTTTTTTGAAAATTTCTAAAATTAGGTCATGAAAGCAATATTGGTGTTTGCAGGTTGCACTTAAATTAGCAGATTCAAATTTTACTGATCGCAAGCAAAACCAAATCACTGTACCTAGGTTGAACTTGAAATTCAAACAATCTAATTCGTTCAGCAAATAAACAGTAATTAACCAAGCAAAATTTTACCATTACCGCTATACCTGAAATTTGTAAGCCGGTCAAAAAAAAAATAATTTCAAGTATGGTTATTTTGACTCTAAGGACCTTAAAACTTCCAGAAATGATGAAATTTCAACTTTCTTCCTCTTTTTCTTTCTTGGAGAATGACAATACTTCCTCTACCTAAGAGGGGAGGGAGAAAGTAAAGAAAAAAAATAGATCTCTTGCTGTACTTTTTGATTTTTTTGTAGATGATTTTTCTTGTATCAAGTCTCTCCATTTTACTCAAGCATCCATATTTTTGTTCATATTATTATTTGATGTGCATATTATTATCATTGGTGCTTATCTACTTTTTCTTTTTCAACCCGCTCTGACATGACCTTCAATTTTTCTCTCTCTAATTAATTTAAAATCATATTCTCTTTTAGTTACCAGCAATAGCTGAGTTTTCCTCCGGTGAAACGATGGGTCACTCTGCTGACCGGCTGGCAGCTAGTTTCAAAGTCAGTCGTAAGGAGCAAGATGAGTACGCTCTGCGTTCTCATACCCTAGCACAGGAAGCCTTTGAGAAAGGATATCTCACCGATTTATTACCTTTCACTTGTAAGTCTTAACATATACCTACTATGAGCTAATCTTTAAGAATAATAGAACCTCTCCTTTTCCGCTGGTTACTTAAACTCTGTTGGCTTCCATTAGAAAAAAATTAGTTGCATTTTATCTTTAAATTGCTTCTACTACTCAATACAAATTCCCATGTTTTGCTGAGCTGGCCCAGATTTTTTCATCACATTGGATTTGACTTGTGTGGTATTGTTCTTGTTTTCCAAAATATGAAGGGTGGCCTAGTGCAGATTGGAAACTTCTAAAAAAAATGCTTAAAAAAGAAGAGAGCAAAATACGGAGGAGGTGGGGTTGAACATTAAGAAGAAAAAAATAATCATTGAAATTTCTTTTAAAAAAATGATCATCGGCAAATAAAACAGTTTGGAATTTGGAATGACTTATAATAAGAGTTTACTTAGTTCAAGATCATATCAAGGTCCATTGAAAAATAGATGTACAATCTATTTATTGGCTGTACAAAAAGGTCACTTTCGAAAGGGTATTACTGGACCACTCTTTTTCCATTTGTCTCTTAAGTGTTTTGTACAACAAGCTGAAAAGGGGGGGGGGTTGGTAATAATTAAATCGAAAGTATTGTTATTTTTATCGGGTGACTCACCCCTGTTTCTCACTTGCAGAGTGAACTGAGAAAGGGGCATCAGCTGGAAAATTTACACTCTTCAATTTAGGAACCGGAATGCATTTAGTTTTGTCCAAAAACTCAGAATAATTCCTTAGATACTCAGGAATTAAGGATCCAGGGTCCTCTCTGGTTTTAACTGCTCCTTAGTACTTTTGCGGAAAAAAAAAGAAAGAAAAAAATTGAAATCACTAGGCAGAATATTCTTTGTAAGCATAATATTTTTCTTCATACTTTTCAGTGCCTGGAACAGAAAAAACCGTTTCAAAAGACAACGGTGTAAGAGTGTCAAACATGGAAAAGTTGTCTTCTTTAAAACCTGCTTTTATTAAACCACATGGTACAATCACTGCTGCCAATGCATCTTTCCTTGTAAGTATTCAAAACTTGTTGTAAGACATGGACTCTTCAAAAAGCTCAGGGTGAATCTAGACATTAGTAAGATTCAATATCATCTCAATAAGTGTCATTTGTCTATTCAATGGGTCAGTTGCGCTGGTCACAGAATCATGTTTTGATGCTTGATTCTTGTAGATTAGGTTAAAATAATAAGATCTGTCTGAACCTCAACTTTCTACGTTCAATATTAACCGAGACATCACCCTTTGAAAAGTCAGGTTTTTGACGTCATCCACCGCGGCAGTGATACCCTTGGTCTCTTTCTCTTTTGTTCAATCAGTCATGCAGAGGGTGCAGTGCAAAACTTCAGCGACAATAAACATAAACAAATTGAGATGAACTGACTGACCACCTCATCTCTTCGCAGCGAGTGCGTTATCTCCTGATAAGAAGATCTTTAAAGTGCGAATCTGGCTGTTTCTTGAGTTTGCTTACATTTAACGTCGTTGAAGTTTCATGTTGCACCCTCTGCATCATTGATAGAACAAAAGAGGAAGAAATCAAGGGTGTCACTGCTGCAGTGGAGAGCAATATCTCGGTTAATATTGAACGCAGAAAGTTGCGGTTTGGACAGATCTTATCATTTTTTGCTAATCTACAAAAATTAAGCATCAAAACACGATTCTGTGACCAACGCAATTGACCCATTTTTATATCTGCATTTGTCCAAAATAGAAAAAAAGTCTCAAGAAAATTTGAATAAATTTTAAAGTCAAAGCACCAAAGAATTGAGACACTATAATGACGGGTATAAATTTTGCAATCAAATTGATGTTGTTAAACAATAGAAACACTTCTGATTTATTTGAATTTGGACTTGAGTTCCAAAACCTTCAAATTTTTAAAAACAGCCAACAACAATTGATTTCAACCATGTATCTGTTGGTTCAATTTTTTGACAGTAATCTAAGTAAACCGACTAAATTAGTCCAAATTAAAACCTTTAAAATGTCTAATGAAGTAAAGCTAAGATCAACAACTATTATTTTGGTATTGTGATATTTCCATAGAGTTGCAAAATATAGTTCTTTATTTACCTTGCTGTGATATGTAGTTTTTAGCTTCCGTTCCTTTTTTAAAGGTTTTCTTTTCATCCGGTCGATAATGAGGGTCGATAACTAATCTGTCCTTTTATTTTCAGACTGATGGTGCCTCAGCCTGTCTTATAATGACTGAAGAAAAAGCAAAACAACTAGGACTGAAACCCAAAGCCTACCTGAGGGACTTCGTCTATGTATCCCAAGATCCCAAGGATCAATTACTTCTAGGCCCCACATACGCAACTCCAAAAGTTCTAGAAAGAGCTGGTCTAGGAGTTCAAGACATCGATGTTTGGGAAGTCCATGAAGCGTTTGCCGGACAGATTCTAGCAAATCTGCGTGCCATGGACAGTGACTGGTTTGCCAAGGAATTCATGAACCGCAGCCAAAAAGTTGGAGTTCCAGATATAGATAAATGGAATAAATGGGGTGGATCGCTAAGTATTGGGCACCCATTTGCCGCAACTGGAGTTAGGTTGACTGTCCACACAGCAAACAGACTCATCCGAGAAGATGGTCAGTTTGGCCTGATCGCTGCCTGCGCTGCTGGAGGTCAGGGAGTTGGCATGATAATTGAAAGACATCCCGATGGAAAAGCCACATAAACCAAAGATTGAAAAAATTAAATTTAATGAAGAATTGAATTACGCGGGTTCCGTCTGATTTTGAAATTTTAGCAGTAATGAATTTGTATGCTCTTGTTGGTGTGATTGGTTTGTCCTCTCCTTTGTTGTGTATGTATTCTTCACTTCTAGTAGTTGTAAGAAGTAACAAAAATACGTGGTGCATGAAATTTTCTCAACCTTGTCCTACATTGTGCAAAGAGAGGGAGAGAGAGCAGTTGCAATGGAGGTAAAAATATTTAATATCTACTGCCCTCCTCCCCTCTCTCTTTATGAAATTATCAGAAAAGAGATTTCAAAACATGAATAGTTGGTGAACCAATCAATCGTAATGCACAAATGCTTTCTACATGTTGCTAATCAAGATTCTATCGGCTTTCTCCTCTTTTTTACTTTTATTCAGCTCAATGGTAAGGTGAAGGTTTGTCAAAATTTTGAGCTTTTGTTGAGTTGCATGAATTGTATGGATGTGTAAGCACGTGTAAAAAGTTGCTGGCTGGACAAAAAAACCACATATCCAGATCGTAATGTTTCATAATTTCTACTCATGGTTATTTTTCGTCAGAAAACAAGCCATCTCAATCACTCAGAATTTTTATGGATGGTTCATTCAATTGAAAAAACTCATGGAGATTTTCAAGGTATTATGTCGGTCAGGTCTCCAATAAAAAAATGAAGTATGACAAGAAGTGCATAATGTTGCGATGTGAGATATTCAGTTTTTGAGTCTTGCCATCCGAATATAAATATATTTTCATAATTTGTATTACTAAGTGTGAAAAGTAACTCAAGTACAAACATGAAAAAAAAAAGGGGAAAAAATATACAGTAGTTACCGCTAAAAAGGAGAAGCAGAAAATTTGTTGAATTGTTAACTCTCTCTAAAGCCTGTTTTATTTGGCTATAAAAGCCATAAATACTTTTTTGAAAAATCACTCGAATCACCAGTTATGTCAAAACAATTTCTTATTTTTGAAAACTTTCTGTTCTAATTATTGAGTAATCCATGTTATTTCGGTTAATTTTAGAATCGTCCAGGATTCTTAAGATATGTAGTATTGATATGTTGATCCTGATTGTTTCTTTTTAAGCATCGAAACCACCTATCTTCTGTGTTTTTCAAAACAGTATGCAATTGGAAAAATTGATCTTGTCCCTCTTTTGTTGAAGTTCAGCCATCCATTCTAGGCCCGAGTCTACATATTCGAAGAATCTAGGACTATATTTTGTTGGATGGAAAAAAATGGAAAGTTTCGCTTGCAGATCCATGATTTGATGAACCATCTTCAATTATAAGATAAGACTGTATTTTTAGTGTAGCTGTATATTTAAGAATTGACTGAAACATGTTTTTATTCATCTGCATAGATCCCTTTTTTTAAATTTGTTATCTAGTTAATTAATTTTATTTTTATACTGCTCTAAAATATAGGTTGATTAGTGTGAAATTTTAGTGTAGTTTTTCTGAATTGCTAGAACCTTTTTCCAAAACATTTTTCGTCTTTCACATAAGAAAGGATCTTGGACCAATTTTTGCTTTTATCTTCATTGACTTTCAATAAAAAATGGAAGAAGAAAAAAAACACTGTACATTTCATGAACGTGAAACGTGTTCATTTGAATGATTCAGAATGAATCTAAAAAAACAATTTTGTACATGTCTTCCATTCTCTAAACAGATATTTAGCTTGCAAAGGCTTTAAATTGAAAGCTTTCTATCAATACGCATGTAGGCACGTGTCTACATGTCCAGAATTTCTAGAAAAAGTTAGGTACTTTTAGTGTTGGTTGGAAGCTTAAGAAATAACCTGAGTTCCTGACTCCATGGTGTAGACCTCTTTTTAAAACATTTTCCTGCATTTGGCGCTGCAGAGCATACCTATTGTTTCTAGAGGAGTGTTTTATTTGTACTCATCAGCAAAATTGAAAAAAATTGATTAAAACTGATTCTGAATTTTTCAAAATTTTGTAAGTTTCAAGTACGCTCCCAAAATTATTAAGTGCTAATAGCTGTTTCAACTGAAACTCAGGAAAAAAGCTGACCTCAGCGTTTGATACAACTATTCAATCTCGCTGGTGGACGGATGGTATCATTGCTTATTGAAGTTAAAACATGTAGCAACAAACGAAATGTAAAAGAAGGTCAAACGTTTTTAACTGATGACCCTAATAATGCAATTCTCTGGCTAAAGTTAGGAGATCCATACCTTTATTGCTACATTTCAAAATCGTTGATTATTCTCCATGTTCTCATAAGGAAATCGACCAAGAGACCTAATCGCAATTTTCTATACTCATGAATGAGAGAAGAAAATCACTGAAAATTTTAAGAAAAATTGTTGGTCAGTTTGCTCTTCCATAAAGTAAGACATGTATAGAGAGTCTTAACATCATAATGGAAGGTTCGCGCTTCTTGACCTCAGCTGATGAAATGAACTGAGATCTTTCTCTCTCCGAGGCAAATTCAAAATGTTTTCTCGTTCCTCGTGGGATGGATGAAATTTTGCCGCCACCCCCCCCCCCCCCCCCCCNTAAACAACATAACAAAAATAACATAAACAAATTTTTGAATTTTAATGTCCCCGTCGTTGAGAAATGTACTCTCGTAAGGCATCTCTGGAAATATATGAATGCTAACCCATAATCAATAACTGTGGAGGATTACTTTTTCGATTGAATTATATCTTTTAAGGAGGGGAGTGGCCGACTGAGGAAGTAGGTTTCTTGCCTGACGCCCCATAGGACGATGCATATGTAAAGTTAAGTGCCGTTAAAATCATCAACGCAGTTTTAACTTTATCTCCTTATCCATGTACCATATTTTTCATTTCAATTCCTCTGATTTCCCCGTTGTGATACATAGTAGCCTCCGTTTTGTGTTAATTATTCTCTCCCTTCGTTAATTCAAAAAATGTTACTGCGCCTGGAGTAAAAGCACGGAAATCTGATCCCGTGTAAAGTAAATTGCATACCGCAGAATTGCAGGCGATTTGTTGTTGACTGCTCCGCCCGCGATGCGGCGATGGACAAAAGTAGTACCGTTAACCAACACTAAAATGTCTGGCGCCACAGTCGCACCGCTTCTTTCGAAAGATGTTTCTGTGTGTGTGTCAGTCAGTCGCGTTCATCTTTTCGGCGAAACACCGATTTGCGTATGTAGTCAGTAGTGCAATAAAAATTTACTGTTTACCTGTGTAAGTGACAGGAGGCGGTTGACTGCCACTCGGCAGTTTGTGTAGTGATTATGGCTGCGTTAGATGAGTGCGGTATCGGGGATTTCGTTCTTTTGGACGAGATAACCGCCGAAAATTTCCTAGCAAATCTGAAAATTAGGTAATTTCATCTCTTCTTCTGTATTTTTAACCTAAATTCATGGTGCATCGATTGAGGAATTCGCCGAACGGCAGTGTAAAGTTGTGTGGGCGTGTCAGTGAACTGTCAAATTCTCACGCAGATTTGTTTACATATCACATAGTATATTGATGAATTCCGTGGTAAAATATCCACTTGTCTATACCCTCAAAATCTCAAGGGAACAAGCAACAAGCTGTATCCTTCGAGGAGTGCCCGCCCTACATGACTTCATTTCTCACCTTGAACTGGAATGATTCATGTTGTCTCAAACCTCTTCATAATTTTATGACTCATATTTGGCACAAGTATTTGCCCACTCCTCTTCAAGACTTAAGAAACTCAGAATTTGTAGCAATGTACCCCAAATGACAGCGGCAATGTTTATCACGTTTGATAAGAGCCGAAAAACAATAATATTCACTGACGACCCCTGAATTATTGTTGTTTGGCAGTGCCAAATTTTTCTCAATACTACTACATCTTTATAGAGATGGCCAGTAATGAATCCTCGAATCTTAATGGCAGTGTTTCATTATTTCTGCTCATATTTTATTTTCTGTCATAATATCAAGCTAATGTTACTGCTTGAAATGTTCACAAATTATTCTTTAAAGAGATATGAAAAATACAGATTACTTGTACGGTATGCTGCTTGGTTTGCTAATACCAATATAATGAAGGGAAATGATGAAAAATCCGCAACGCTTTAATCTGATATTTTAAGATTTTGACAAGCCAACGATCTTAGATTAATTTTCGAAAGTATGTCTGAAATTATGCCATTCCTCAGGGTACTTGATCTTGTGGAACAGAAACATTCCTTTCCAAGACACGGAACCTAATACAGGTAAATTTCCCCTCTCAGAGTTAGGTACGCTGTTTGGAGCAACATTAGTTATCATCATCTGAAAGGTAACTGCTGAAGCGTTGTGGGTTTAATTGGACCAATCATCAGCACAGTCCTGATTTTCTCCCTCTGTACGCAGGAAGGTTGCTAACATCTTACGAAGGTTTGGGCATTAGTAGGAAGCGATTTTGCTGCCAGATGCACTTGCAATTACCTTTCTGATGGCTGTAACCTGTGTTGCTTTAAAGAGCAACCTTACAGATCATGTGTTTTTCTCTTTTTTTCAGGTAGGTAGGTAATTTCATCTCCTTTTTTCAAGTCAAAATTTCAACCTGTCATGTTTCCTATCTTTTATCTTTCTGACTTAATTTTTTTTTTTTGCTATCAAATTTTTTAAAAAAGAGAAAAAACTTACTGCTTGGTTTTTGTTTGTTTTCAGGTTTCAAAATGGCAGGATATATACATACATCGGAGAAGTGTGTGTGTCAGTCAATCCTTACAAAACCCTCAGTATTTATGGGAACGATTATATCAACAAATACAAAGGTTCGTACAATTTTAGTTAATTTACTTAGATCTTTTTCTAACTTGATTCAGGAAATCCTGGTCAATGGTCGAGATTATTTACCCTCAAGTTTTCCTTTAAAAAAAAAATTGACTCTCACTAGTTATTTTTCCCATAAGATTTAGCACTAAAGGCTTGCTAGTGCGCAGCTTAAGTCGGCTACACAACCTCTCAAAGGAGCTTGTAAAATTTTCTTCAACAGCTTGTCATGCCAACTTACACCTTACGTGCCTTATCTGCCTTAAAACAGTAACTAGGTAGATACCTCATAAAAATTAAGTCAATGACGGGGAAAGTAAACTATTTTGTTCTTTGAAATCATTTAAACAACAGTGGGCTGGAGAGAGATAATGTCTCTGTATTGCAGATGAGCATTTATGGTAATGGTCTACTTAAACTTAAATGAGCCATTAATCAAAACTAGTCTGATCAATACTTATGTTGAAAAATAGATTTACCGTAGATAAGATATTTTGTCAGGAATATGTTATACCCCTTTCATCATGGTAACTGCATTATTGTGGAGGTTTTTAAATTTACCATCCACTGGAATGGTGTTATTGTTCCTGTCTTGCTGGCACTTGCTGTACCTATTCTCACTGACAATGTGTTTTTAGAAAAACTTTTTTTAAACTAATTTGAATTTAGCCCTCAGAGCTAATCCCTCGCTTAGTCACTGAGTCCCCTTGGTCCCCTTACACCATGCCCCAATGTACCTTTGCCTGATATCATCAAGCTCAGATCCCTTGGCTGGTAATCTCACTAGTAGGACCCCCTGTTCGTAGGGCCAGGGCTACAAACACCACACCTCAGGAGGCCGACTTAACAACACACAAAAATCCTTGCGCCTAAGAATTGGTTCAATAACCACTAAATCAACTTTTTTAAAATTCTTTTTTAATTGTAATTAGATTCAACTTTCCTAAAGAAAGGAGAGGGGGAGGGGGAAGGGGTGCAAGGCTTCCTTTGAACCTCCACTTCTCAACAACCTTGGCTATAACCCCAGGTTGAAGTTGTCGATCACCATTCAGATCGTTATTATGAAAGATTGGACGAGTTGATCGTTTTTGGCAAGCGACGCCGCCTGCCGTGTTCGGCAAGAAGGACCCCTAGTTGCAATGACCTTTTAAAACATTTGTCAAAAACCCTTAAAAAACTGTCAAAATATTCTTAATAGGAAACCCTCTTTGACAACTCATAAAAAAACTGTTTTAATATATTGTACGTATTAAGAAATCCTTTATGGCTATTGTTTAAGTAAAATTTACGAGCGGTAAAATTTAAATGAAAAAGTGTTAAAAAACGTTTAAAATATCAACTGGAGGTACCTAGTTTTTTAACACTAGAAATGTTTGAAATAAAAAATGCCAAACTACCTATAGTGATATTTTAAGAGTTTTTGAACAATTTTTTCCTTTAATTTTACCTCTCATAAATTTTACTTACAAAATAGCCAAAAAGGATTTCCTAATACGAACACAGTTTTTTTATGAGTTCACTGGGAAAAAAAAAACACATTGGATCTAGAGTCCAGACTCTTGAAAACATCGGCAAGAAAAAGTACTCTTGATTCGATCAGAATCTAGCTTAAATCAGGAACCAAGCCTCTTAATTTAAGCGGATTTCGTTTTGATTCAAGGAAAAATCCGATTGAATCAAGGGTATTTTAATGTTTTCAAGAGTCTGGACTCTAGATCCAATGTGGTTTTTTTTCCAGTTTTGTCTTTTTGGCATCTAAGAGTTTTCAAACTACTAGGGACGGAGCATCGAGGGTTAGAGACCTTACCAGAGACTATGGAGGGTCCATACTTTCTCTAACAAAAGGACGTATCTAGGGCGGATTCGCGATGGACGTCATGTCTTTCTGTACGGAGTTCGGGAGCACCTGCGTAACACGGCAGGTCCTCGCTCGGCTGGCGTGACAGAGAGCGTTTGGCGGGCTAATCAGCCGGTTTAATTCAATTACCATGCTGGTGCCCCCGCCCATGCGTTCCAGGATTTTCTCCCTACGCTAGTCTCGTTTACTTCCGATACGCTTTGTTCTGGGCCCTCTTCTCATCGCCGTTTTCACACTATTACGACTTCGGATTAATCCACCCACCTCACCGTCCACCGCACAGTGGAGCGAGTCACTAGACAGGGCCGGATTTGGGAGAGTACCGACAGATCTGAAACTCCGAAAGTCCATCAGGCCTTCACCGATGCCTCCGCGAATAAAGTTAGGGCCCAAAAAGGCAGCCAACCTATGAATTTCAATTATCCAGAGCGATTTACTGATACTATTGTTACGAACCGTCCTTTATTAAGCACGTCTTTGACTCAGTTTTTGCATAAATTTACTCAATTTCGCGGAAGAACGCTCATTTCTGTACATTCTTGGCCATCTTGGTTAGAATTGGAATCTGCAGACTGGCAGTGAAATTTTGTGCGTTAGACGTTGGTTAGAAGGGTGGCTGCACTTTTGGGCCCTAAACCCTCCATGAACCGATCTGTCGGTACTCCCCCTAAACAGGTACTCTAGATTTGGGGGGCGGCCACATAGGCCGCGGCCCATGGCGGCAAATTTAGGGGGCGGCAAATGATGAATTTTTTTTAAATGTAGGTATAAAAAAAAATCGGATTCAGAAAAAAAATTACAAACCAAGAAAGGCGACAAAATGTCTCATTTCCTGAGGGTATAGTAATTTCTAATTTTGTCGTCTTTCGGTGATACAAGAGACAGCACCTTTAATCAGTCGAGTTAAGAGAGAAACGAAACACTCAATTTGGCCTGGAGCGGCGCGGTGCAGAGAACAATGATGACGAGGACTTTAAATGAAAAGGAGAAGCCCTCGGCGCGGCGGTCGGCATGTAACACATATTAGCGCCTACAAGACTCCATGAATACTTCACGCATTGCGTCAAACACAGTCGGTCACGGTCAGCAGCGGTCGGCGGGAAACGCACAGCGCCTACAAGACTGCATGAATATTTCACGCATTGCGCGAAATACAGTGCGGTCATCGCGGCGCGGCGGCGGCGAAAGTTGAAATTATTAAACCACATTTGTGTGTGTTCTTTCATAAATTTTTCGTTCAATACTTATAAATGGAAGGCCTTGTCCACACAGAGATAGGTTTACGCGGAACTGAACTTTCGCGTAAAGTTTCGTGAACTTTTGCTAGTAGTGTTGACAGGGCTTTCGCAATACATGTGTCCAACACGAGTCAACGCGTCTTATGCACCCCTTCCCCTCCGGCACGTTCACTTGATAGTTTTTATTGACGTTTCAGAACGAATGAGAAGGGGGCGGCAAAATATAGGCGGCCCATGAGCGGCAAGTAGGTAAATCCGGCCCTGTCACTAGAAGTCGGGACACAATTTGGAAACTTTAAACGCTTTTAACTCCGTTTATACAAAGCTTTAAGGTTCCGAAAGTGGTTCAATTGGTTTCCTCGTGAAATTTTCGACTGACAGCATCTCTCGAAATTCAAAATGAGACGAAATAAACATCAACAGGGTGTCTAGCATCAGGATTTTCTCGATTCTATCAGGATTTGAGGTCAATCAGGACTTAATCCCGATTTCATCAGGATTTGATGAAAAATCGGCCATAGAATCAGGATTTGAGAAAAGTTGGCCGTCCGCGTATTTTCCGTCAATTGTCCGCTATCCGTCCGTTAATTTGTCTCCGCAAAAAATCAGGATGTGATCAGGATTTGGAAAAATGATGAAATCAGGATTTAGCAGTTAAAAATCAGGATTTCCCAACATGATAAAAAAACTAGACACCCTGAATCCAAAATTTGCGGTTGTAGTAAAAAATTTCATGTCCGACCTCTCTAATTGGCTCGATCCACTGTGCGTCGCGCTTCTCTTCCTCGTGTTCGCGGTCCGCGCGGAGTGGTCCGATTCGGACCTACGTCATACTGCCGTGCTAAGGAAAAACGCCGTATGAACCTTTAGGCGTTGCCAAATTTCCTTTGATAAAACACAAATTCCCTGGTAAACCTATGAGTATTTTTCTTTCGATTTTTCGGACGATTTTGTTCGCAATTTCATCTAAAATATCTGAAAATTTCAAGGAAAAACATTCATAACTTCCCTCAAAAATAATCATTTTAACGAAGGAAATTTGGCAACTCTCGAAAGTTCATACGGCGTTCTTCCTTAGCACGGCAGCATAGCCGAGTATCGACGTACTCGATAGGTTTCGATTATTTTCGCTCGGCAGCCCGGGGAGGTCGAGTCATCGATTGGATCCGTGTTGATGCAGTCGATACCCATTTCAGTGGAGAATCCCTCTGTTGGTGACGTCACGTTAGAAATCGTCTAGCCGAGCGACTCCCCCCCCCCTCCCTTCGAAGGAAAAATGAAGCAGTCTCCCCCGTTGAATCTTAAATTCATCTCCAAATGTATTGGTGAAGCACAGGATTGCCACAGTCAGGGAATACCGGAAAATGTTAGGGAATTTTAAAAAGTCAGGGAAAACCTGGAAAAGTCTGGAAAAATAATGAAAATGTCAGGGAAAAATTGTCAAGTCACCCTTATTGCCTTCTTAGAAGAGGTTTGACGTTTCGAACAACAAACCGTGCCCGAAAACTATTTCAAATCATGTAATTTTAAGCATCGGGCATGTTCTCAATTGTCCGGGAATTTCACCAAAATGTCGCAGGGATATCAGGGTAATATCAAAGAATTTCATTTTCCAAATTCTATGGCAAACTTGAATGTAGTTAGGAACCTGGAAACATAGCATGTTCAGTTTTCTGGAAAGAGGGTCTCCGGAGATTCTGGAAAGTCAGGGGATTTATGGCAACCTGGAAAAAGTCAGGGAATTCATCGGAACAGTCATGGAATTTTGCGAGTAGCATTTCGCGCAGAAGAAAGCTCAATAAAATGAGAGAATTCTAACTGGAAGTCTTATTCAAATGTTAGGAAAAGTTAGGGGATCAGAAAATTTTGGTGTCAGGGAAAGTCAGAAAATCGAAAGACGTTTGGA